CAGTAGGCGGTTGACCGAGGGCCGTGGCACGAACGATCGGTTGTTCAGGGCGGCGCAGCCACAAGGGCGGACGAGCGCGAGCTGGCTGGCGATGATCGGGGATTCGGTACGGCTGTGCTCAGTGTCGGGTTCGGAGCTGAAGCGGCGTCGTCCGGCGGTCTTGGAGCGCGACGCGAGCGGCGGGTTTGTTCAGGCGGCTGAGGCGGAGGGGTTGGCCGCGGGCTCGAGTGGCGGAGGAGGATCGCGGTGCAGCGAGGTTTGGCGTCCTGATCGGGACGCCGCGAGCGGCGGCGGTGACGCGGGGACCAAGGCGGCGCGACGAGGCCGGAGGCGGTGAAAGGGGGTGGTCGGGTTCGGTGCTGGGAGGAAGAAGAAGAAAAAATGGGTTTTCTTTTTGGGTGAACTGTTGAAGAGGGGGGTGTACGGTGAGAGATAAAGAAATAATTATTTTATGAAAGGGGAGAGAGAAAAAGATGGGAGCGAAATATGGGGAAAAAAAAGGAAGGTGTATTATGTGATATGATTTGAATTGATTGGGGATAAATTTGGAAGAAATTCAAATTCAAATGAGAAAAACAGGAGAGGGAAAATTCGAAAATTTCCACATAATATTTTGAATTATAAAGTATACCATTGGAGATGCTCTTACACTGTGGCGCATTGTTACCCACGCCTTCTCTTGGTTTTGCATGGGGCCTACATGGGACAATTAATGGATTTGTTTAGATACATAAAAGAAAAATTCTTTGGGGACCCAAGGGGGGACAGGTAATGTGTCAACCCCTGGGTGCATAATCTACTGTTCATGAACAGTAGATTAGTGGGTTCATGTGTGGGCCCAAGGGGAATAAGAAAATGGTTAAGGCATGTCTACAGCTGAGTCCTCAAATCATTAATCTCCTCAATTTTTTCATATTTGAAACGGGTCATCAAATCATTTTTAATTAAAAGGGTTTTCTAAATATTAGTCTCTTTTATTTTTCATGGTTTGAAATGAGCTCTTAAATCATTGAAATTGCTATTAGAGCCTCCAAATGTTAATTATTTGAAAATTTCCTAAAATAATTAAAATTGTTATTAGGTCCCTAATTTCATAAACGGTTTCAAATTAATCTCATTAATTGTTTTTTATATTCTTGATTGGAGGGACTAATTTAAAATAACTTGAGAATTAACAGGCCCGATAGCAATTTCAATGATTTGGTAGACTAATTTTAAAATAACATAATAATTGACCTAGCGGTAATTTTCACATTTGAGGGACTCCTTTTAAAAAGTTATGGGGGTGTTTGTTTGCATGCAAGTGAAAGATGAAAGTGAGAAAGTTACTTTCATTTAACAATTAAGGTGTTTGTTTTTATGTAAGTGGTTATGAAAGTGAGATGTAAGAAAGTTGCCACATAAGATTTAATGCAATTTTGACTTCCCCTAAAAAAGTGGTGAAGTCACATGAAAGTGACAAAAAGGTAACTAATTTAATTAAATGATTTTAATTATATTTTCTAATTAATCTTATTTTGCCACGTCATCTTCACATTGCACTTTCGATAATAATTTAATTTTTCAAACAAACAATGTATTTCACTTGCGTGCTGACATGGATGTAAAAGTCATTTGCAAAAAAAAAGTAACTTACATATTTTAAATTCACTTTCAGATTGCCAAACATGAGTTAAAAAAATCTATCTTTTAGTAACTAAGCAAAAATATTGGTATCACAACAACCTACGTCAAGTCATATATTGAGGAAGGAAGGTTTAATGGTTTATACATATATGACAATGTGCCTTAAATTGATAACTGTGTTTATTTATAGATTAGTATTTTATATACGATTTTATTGAACTAGCAAACAAGTGAGATTATTTGTTTACCACTTTCCTGCAGAACACTATTGATTGATAATTTGTTAATCATGTTTTATGGATTTCCAGTTATACTCCTTTATTACAATGAGTACGAACACAATCTTTACAATTGGCAAGTTCATTAATTAATTTTTTATTTATTTTGATACATTATTTTTATTTATTTTATTTTTTCAGTTGCTTGAATTTCATATATTGTCTTTACTGGTATCTTGTATTGTTTTTATTGATGTAAATGCATGTTTAGTAACTGGTAAGTAAGGGGCTGTTTGGATGCCTTTAGGAAACTAGAGTATTTATGACACAAAATAGAAAATGGTTATCCACCTCACCACTTTTCATTCGAGTGTTTACATTATTTGGTTATGAATCCTAAAATAATAGTATTACATTGTTTGGATAGTATAATGTAAACTAGAGTATTTATGACACAAAATAGAAAGTGGTTATTCACCTCACCACTTTCTACATGGTTTTGACTTTATTATTATTATTTTGGACACATTTATGACATTGTGTAAGCTTTCTAACAAAATCACTATTAATTTTGGTGGTTTTACTTTCGATGACACATCATCAAAAGGTGTAAGCTTTTCATGTAAAAGAAAATTTAAACAAACAATGTAAAGTGATGAAAGCTGACATTGAGACCCACTTTTTTACACTCTCCATCATTTTACATAGTAAAAACATACAACCAAACAGCCCCTAAATGGAAAGTACACCGAAAATAGAAAAGTAGCTGCGTTTTTAATTTTTATTTCATTTCGCATTTGAAAAGTGAATGGAAAGTAATTGGAAAATGAAGAGTGTCATATTAGCATTTTAGCCCTTTTCACTTTTTCCAAAAATTGGAAAAAGTGGATGGAAAGTGAGAGAGTAGAGAGAACTTTTTTAAAGATTTTTTTACATATCATTTTAGCTATACTTGTCTACTTTCTACTATTATTTTTCATGATAATCAAATAGAACAAGAAGAAAATAAGTGTCACATTATTTGCCTCATCAGCTTTCTCTCATTTTTTTTGCTTTCTAACATCCCAATACGATTTCGTAAAATGAAAAGTAATAAGAAAGTACATTCATGAAAAAATAATTCTTTTTTCCCACTTTTTATTTACTTTCCTCTTGCTAAACATGCCCTAAATTAATTGTGAAATAAGGTTCATATTTTTCTTCCTTCCTATTTAATTTTTAATTAAATAATTCTCTAGAAGATCTTTTTTTCATAAAATACGGACAACACGTGTTTGAATTCTAGTCATGAAAAATAATTTTTTAAAAAATAATGTAGATTATATACTACATAAGTCAATTGTAGTTTCTACTTCATATTAGTATTTTTCTTCCAACTTTCTTTTCAATTCTCTTTCCAACCAAACAACCAGAAGAATCTTGTTTTCTTCTCTTTCTCTCCCTTTCTTTTCATTTTCATTTTCATTTTTTTTTTCTTTTCACCCAAGCCGAACATAGCAGTAATGTTATGTTTTCCTTTGTGGCCAGGCAATGAGAAGCTGCTCCCTCCAATTTTGATTTATCTGTACATCAAAATTTTTGATTGCCTCTTTTGCCTGCTAAATTAAAAGTTTTAACATAACAATGCCTCTCAATCAATCAATATAAGTAATCTCACAATTACAGCATGAAATTAATTAAGTTTAGAATCTTAAAATTCCGTAATTCAATGAATACGTTACGAATAAATTAACCCTCCATTATCATCCCAATGCAATAGCATGAATTTCTCTAATTATCAACCCAACGTGTGTCTTTGCTCACAAATAGACGGAGAATTACTAGACAGCCCGGAGATGGTAGTAGGAGCAAAGGCAGCAAAAAATTTAACGGAGATGGTAGTGCTGTTAATGGTGAAAATTGTCGGTGTTTGAGGAAAGAAGGAGATGAGTTAATTGGATCTCAAGAAAAAGAATTGGATGATGATGGGGTTGATGGATGGGCATGATGAAGAGAGGGTTGCATTGCCAGAGAAAGAGGGCTAACTTTACGTTCATTAGGTCTAGTCCTAGTCTATTTTTGGGTATTTCTTGTACGGAGAAAAAACCGGACCAAATTTGACCTAGTTTTTCTTAGCTCATTTTCACTCTTAAACCAGGCCAGAGTTGAACCACGTACTTTCTGGATTAATCCTAGCCCAGTTAAAGGAAAATTCAATACTAACCTAGTTTACACCTAGTTGCCAAACAGACCCTTATTATCCCAATGCAAAAGTAATAATGAAACTTTCCATCTCAATTTGTTTCATTTTTTTGTGTCTCTATTTGTCTCTCCTCTCATTGAATTTTACTAATACAAATTGTAACTTTTTCTCTATACAGATCAATTGTTCTTAGCTAAGTTTGTCTAGTAATAGTTTTTGAAATAACTTGGTATTGATCAATTTATGAAACGATCCTTTAGCTGAGTTCCTACTGACCTCATCCGGTAGCCTCACCTAAGAAAAACAGGTAACACACGGATAACACAATTATTATCATTTCCAGTGGAGAAACTGAGGCAAATTACCCGCACCAAAAAAAAAAAAAAAAAAAAAAAAAAAAAAGAAAGAAAGAGACAAAAAAAAAAAAAAAAAAAAGAAAGAAAGAAGCGCAACAAGAATATTGATAAATGCAGTCAAGTCATAAACGCCATTACAATATTATCAACAGAACATTATCTAAATCACTCTAAAACAGAGCAACTTCTCATATGAATGGAATCCTGGAAGAAAATGCAGCTTCTCAATTGATAATGGAAGCCTCGAAAAAAGAAGAATAAAAACAGAAATGAAAGAATATGCCCCCAATTATCAGTCCCAAAGGGTACATACATACATAAATCATGTACATTCATCCTCCTAAGAGTTTGATAGCCAAGACAACAGGATTGAGGGAGTAACGAAACAAAAGGAACCTCACAAACAGAGCAGATTAAATGTTATTTGATTTTCTCCTCTTTGGGGCTTGTTCGGATTCATCGCCGCCGCTGCTTCCTACTCTAGAGTGTCTCAAGGGGTCATCAAGCTCCTGCAAGAAATGCAATGAACAAAAAGAACCTATTAACAAATCAATATGAATTTGAAAATTGTCGCTATTTAGCAAGCTATACGAAGTCCATTAATAATATGAATTTGGAGTACATTAAGTTGCAAATCACAATTCTCTCCTCTCTGTATATGCAGAAAATAAGAGAATAAGTTATAACAACGGAGTGAGCCAGATGCATTTCTTTCTACTATAAACTTCATAACTAGCCTAAACACATGATTATTTAAATTAAAAAAACCTCATCCTCCTCCTTAGTTTAGGGGTTATTAGAAAACCCCCTAAATTAGGAGGGTTTCTAACAAAATTTCAAAGTTAAAAAGCGGGTTTTCTAATAAAATATGAAAGTTGTTGTGTTTGTGATAATTCCTATACTTGGGGGTTCTGACATTTTGAAAGTTTGAGGGTTCCCCAAAGTTAAGAGGGTTCTCTGATATTTACCCAAAAACAAACTTCATAGTTACAGAAATAAGGTGCCTTCCATTTGATTTTGAGATTTTATAGAAGAGAACTCCAATAGATCTGACAGCCAGATACGCCCACAAAAGACATGCCGTTTTTCTATCCCCACATATCGTACAGGATTCAATGGTATTATTGAAGTCCTGACTAATTAGTAGAAAATGTTACATATTAGCAAATTCCATCATATCACAGACACCTTGGGCCCAACTAATCATTCATTGCATGCTATGGATGCGCTTCTTTTCACTAGTGTGCCATGGATATGACAAATAATGAAGGGTTAATTGCGGATAGACCCTCAGTACTATCGACCAACTGAAGACGGATCCATTGTAGTTCTACTGTTGAGATAGATCCCCGTGAGCAAATTTTTGTTCCTAGTTTACCCTCAGAGAAAGAGAATTAGTTTTGACAAGACCTCCTGAGAGTAAAGGCGTCAAAACAATTTACTCAAGGGGTCTATCTGCAATTTGGCAATACAAGCAGGAATCTATCTGCAATTAATCCTATAGTAACATATCCAAACCCCTAGAATGAGAACATATTTTATTTAAGAAGAAAGAGGGGAAAATATCCTATGATCACCATATTTTCCAATTAATTCGTGAAATCATCCGAAAGTCCAACATCATACCCAGCCTGCAAAACTTGTAGTCCCACGGAATCACAGTATGATAGAATGGCGGAAGCTTATGCTTGACTTCTCTTCTCATGAGTATCATTCTTATGTATTTAAGCAAAAACATGTTTCCTGCTCTACAGTACACCACCTTTAGATTTATTTGACATGACTCCACATAATTTATTTGTTTTCCAAAATCAATACACTCAGACATGATGTATTTTGATTTATTATTACTCCAGCTACAAGCTTATGACACCGATCACATTCTCTAGTCTCATGCAACTATGTAGTGTACACATGACATGTACAAAATCAGGTCTCACTTTGAAGTTTAAACGCTTCTTAGAATAGGATGATTTAAGTGTCCGTGTTAGTTATTTATATACCGAACTTGCTATTTTTGCATAATACAGTAGAATTAGTGAGTTTTTAAATGGACATAATAAATACTAACAGAAGTTGAAATCAAGGCACTAGGAAGTTACTCGATGAAATAAAGATTCACCCGTATATCTTGAAAAGTTAGGGGGGGTAACGAAAATCTCATTGTTAAAGAGGCCAGAAAAATTTTACCCTATTTCAGACATAATTCAACAATTCTGTACAACTCTATTGGCACATTCTTATCACATTTAGTAGATCTATATTTGAACACATAAAAAGGTGGTAAGAAGCAACAAATTAAAGCAAAAGATAGGTGCTTAACTAAGCTCAAAAAAATGAAATTGCAACTTGAAATTACATTTAACAGGAACTTACCTTAGCAGAAGACATTGAGGTTGTACTAGCTCTCCTACTTGCTCGCTTGCCCAGGTTAATCTGCACAGAGATGCTGGCTTGAGAGAGATCTATACCAGAGCTCTCCAGTGCCCGATTCAAGGTGTTCAATATACTGCACCACGTGAAGAGAACATTGTTTAAGGCTATTAAAAGCTCAAACAGGTTAAACAAAATCATTTTCTAATAGTTCCTCAATTAGTTAAAACACTAATGTTTGCACTCAATATGATCATAGAGGCAAAGAGCATCTTAATTACAAGAAACAATCACTGATAAATTATCGAAGAGAAATCGGAAGGTCGAAATAAAATAATAAATATATAAAGCAACTCAATTCTACGAAGAAGCATCTCAAAGATTAGTAAGGAGCGTATGTGTGAAAAGTTTAAAAGAGTTATGAAGGCGTGAAAATAAACTCTGATCCGAACAAGTACATACTTTTGAGAGTAAGAAGTAGATACGTTAATTGTGCCATCATCAATTGTCAGCTCCTCTTGTTCATTCAAATTATCACTGCTGACACTATAATCAGCTGGAGCTGAGGGTCTCAACCATTGAGACTGAGACTGTGAGGCCAAGTTATCAATATCTGAAATCAACCTCTGCTGAGGTTGGGCAGCACCGGCTCCTCTTTCAGCCGAAGCATAGTTTCTCTGTGAAGGAATAGGTGATGAAGATGCCTTAGTTGCAAAACCAACTGGGTTTTCCACGGTTTTGTTTGGTACATCAGCACTCATGTCAGATTCCAATGGATTCTGAGCAGTTGAGAGCATTCCCGGCACAGGTTGGATTCTGTTGTCATCAGCAGAATACATGAAACCTGAAGCATGACCACCATTTTTCATGACTTGAGCAGGGTCAGCTGCACCATCTCCAGGCACTTGGCTGGTATTCTGTCACAGATAAAAGGACTGTCAATAACACATCAAAGACAGCGGAACCAGTAATCGGTAAAGAATGAATGACATCCTAAGCATGGCATGAGCTAAATGTCCAGTTTCTTTTCCTTTTTTTATTACAAGAATTAAAAATGGCAGGTACCCGTGCATTTTTCCAGAATGATCTAAAATAGACCTTTACCTGCCAAAAATAAACCAAAATGGAAAAATCAATAAAAACTAGTTCTTGCGACAATGACCCAGACACGCAATATAATTGGGCCCAGCTTAAAATTCCTTAAATTGTTGGACTAAATTATTTGCAGAAGTTCTACCACACACAGGCATCAAATAGAAGATGATTAAAAAAAAGCAAAATGGAATCCCCTAATAATAGGAAATGTCATAATGACATGGTCCAAACAAATAATATATGTTTTATGTGGCTGAATATATTTTCCTTTATTAGCTGATGACATGATTGTAAGTCTCTGTTCTTTAAGGCTAAAAACAATAGAAACTGAGGCGCTCTGTCTGCGTGGATGTGTTGTGTGTGTTTAGTGTCTACAAGGAGTTAAAACTAACTAAAACAGAAGAGTTCTATAAGAAAATAGAATGTCGGAAAATTGAAGAACTTCAAGGAATTGATTAAGAAGAACTTCTCGGTCTCCTAAACTGGTGCTAATTTCCATATTCTCTTTTTCATAAGTAAAGAGATTTTGAAAAAAATAATAAACCAACAAAATGTTATCTCTTATAAGAATGGTCAATGCATTTGACTTTTTTTCACATAACTAAAAGTGGATTACAATTCTTGATTTTTTTTTCAAGTGCATATTTCCCTGTTGCAATGGCATCTCTCTCAATTTTCTAGGATTCACAGAAGACACAAGCATCAAAGACATACTTAGTTATAAGCTATGTTGCACGAATACAGGTGCTGGTGCGAATATGGACACAGATGCAGATATCGGACAAAGAAAAATTGTAAAAGTTAGGATGCGGAAACATGGCTATATACATATATATATAAATTAATAATCTATATCAGATCGATATGGTTTCCATTCACATGTTATGTGCACTAAAATCCTTATACCATTTTTGTGTTTTTTTATTGAGTAGGGTATAAATTGAAAAAAATGCTCTTTTTTGAACTAGATACCCAAACAACCCTTTAAAAAACATACTTATGAATTAGATATGTGCTAAAACGAACCTATCCAAACTCCAACGAGTTGAATAAACGTCAAGAGTAAAATATAAGCTCAAGAAGTGTATCACGAGCTTTTTAAACTAAAATATGTCTTATATAATTGAGTACATGTCTATATAAAAGTATGTAATATATTCAAAAAAGGTCCAAGGAATGTCGGACATGGACATGGATATGGGAAGTGATGCACACGGACATGGACATGGATATGGGAAGTGATGCACACGGATACGGAAGCATAGATGGAGTGTCCGGGTAACTTAGGTTATTAAGCATATGCAGTGCCAGAGCACCATAAACATCCCCTTTCAACATATTAAATCTCATGTTTGGTTACACATGCATTATTGTACTCTAAGTGAACTCAGGAATGAGGTGGGTAGCAATGCATATACATGTATAGTACAACATACGCTTAGTTTTCGAGTAACATATTTAAATAGCAGAGGTATGTGTGTAATCATTATCGTTATCCATAATCGACAAAAATTACCCATGGCACTAATTTGACATTTTCTTCAGTCCATCCTGTAGATTCGTACTTTTGGACTCTCTCTTGTAAAAATCGAATATATTCAATCACCTGCACGATGAGAAGAGTCAACAAAAAGAAAAGGCAGAGCAGCCACATAGTTAGAGTCATCTGTCTCAAATCCATACCTCCAAAAGGAATGATGCTTTATCCCTCTTTTGATCACTATGTGGTATGAGTTCTCGAAGTATTTGAAACCTGCATATAAAATAATTTGATCCATCAGAGACATTTACGATAGTTTGACAATGACCAAAAAGATGCAACTATGTGGACATTCTTCTATTTCTTTGGCATTTCAGCAAACATAGACTGTATGCTTTGGCTCAGTAAGCACTAGATTGTGCATATACAAGATTAAACAACATCAACCATTGGCATAAAAAGACACTGCTCCATGTATGCCTAAACAAGTGTTGCCAGGATTGGCTAGAGAGAAACTTCATTCCAGATGTAAGAACCAATCAAAGTTTTAACATTATGTGGCTCGACCCAACATGACATGTCATAGGTTCAAAACAACTAATTAGTGCTGATTACTAAAGTAATTATCCATTGCATTGGTCAAGCATGTTTACAAGGCAAACTTCGTTAGAATCTAATATCAAGTTCATCCTAATTTGTACGAAAAAACTCTAGCTTTGGAGTCTTTCCGGGCAAAATTAATAATCAAATCATAACAAAAAGAGAATTATACTTGGTAGCAAATAACATCTATAATACACAATTTACATGCAAATTACAGATTCTATCAGCCAATTTTCAAGAATTCAGAACGACCAAGTAAAAAAAAACTTTGATTTTTCACAAAATGCTAATTGGAAAAGTAAAAAAAACAGAACTGCTGAGGGGAAAAACAAACTTGCCTGTCGTTGATTTTGCACCTCCGCCTCTGTTCCGTAGCAGAATGCTTCGACCGTGGCGTCGTCGCCTTCTGATCGTTCCCGCCCTTTCCATCAACTTTCACGGTCAATTCTACTGCAAAATTAACAACCAAACCCAAAAGTTTACAACCATACACATTTTTCTTTAAAAAAATTAGAAGGGTCTAAAAGCAAAAAAGGAGGAACCTTTCCTCGAAGTACCCTCTCTCTTCCCAAACACTTCGTCGTCTTCGTCGTCCTCGTCGAAACCTCTACTGGATCTCGAGCCCGACTCCATGAATTGCTTCTTATCTTGCTGATGATTCCTGCGAAAAAGGAATCCGCAGCAATTAGAAACCCTCGAGAGGAAAATTATGCAGAAAAGCCCAGAAGAGAGAAAGACAATTGCAAAATTGAGGAACCTGGAAGAGGATAGAGAAGGGAAGCTGGCAGTGGCACGAGCGGCGTAAGGCGAAGGCCACTGACCTGAGATACGTAAAGAAGACGACGAATAAAAAGTCACATTCCAGTTTTAATATTTGTTCCGGCTGTTGAGCGCTCTTAATATGGCTTAACTTGAACTTAAATACCACATAGTTTGTCCTACCTAGCACTCAGACCCTCACTTGTTTTGTTTTTGACAGAACTTATATACCTTCACTTGTTTTTGCCAGCGCTTATGGACCCTATAATTTTTTAAAACTTGATGGTATTTAAGTGTAAACTTTTAAAATATTATGGTATTTTAGTGCAAAATTTAAAATCTTCGGGATATATAAATGTCGCTTAAACAAGTGAGAGCATAAAAGTGCAAGTTTTAAAAATTTAGAGTATAAAAAGTGCTATCCAAAAAAGTGAGGGTATATATAATTGTAAAGTAGGAGAAACTATACAGTATGTAAGTGCAATTAAGCCTTGTTTTACCCCTATACACACAAACACACCCCAAGAGATAATAACGAGTATGCTTGGTACCAAACACCAAAATTGGTGCTTGGCACTGAGATAACTCATTTCAATCAACTCATTCAATTATCCAACTCATGTGCATCCATGTAAATTTGATGTCTCATTTAAATAAGTGGATTAGAATGAAACCATCTCACTACCAAGCACTAATTTGGTGCTTGATGCCAAGTATACCCATTATTCTTATGTGTGTGTGCATAGAAATGGAGGAAGTTGATACAAAACACAAACTTTGTGTTTGGTAACGAAGTGACTTATTCACATGCAGTCATTCAAATAATCTACACTTGAAAATGGTCCTCCAACCTATGTATATGTGCTTTGAATATATGGATGCAGTCCACACCTTTTAATAGCTTATTTAGCAAACTATTGGGCATTCACATACACATTGTTCACTCTCTCTCTCTCTCTCTCTATATATATATATATATATATATATATATATATATATAAGAAATATGGATATGCTTTGTACCAAACATAAAATTTGTGCTTGGTAGTGATGTGTCACATTCACATCTACTCATTACCCATATGAATGTGGTCCCACATTTAAATGAGTTAAGAGAGATGTGATACCTCACTACCAAGCATAACTTTTTGTGCTTGGTACCAAGCATACCCATATTTCTCTCTCTCTCTCGAGAAAGAGAGAGATGGGTATGATTGGTACCAAGCAGAAAAAATTATGCTTGGTAGTGAGGTGGCATAATCTTCTCCACTCATTCAACTGGTTGCATATCCTTATGCACTCCTCAACCCATATGAATGTGGTCCTCTATTTGAATGAGTGGAGGAGATTGTGTCACCTCACTATCAAGCACAAAATTTGTGCTTGGTATCAAGCATACCCATATTTCTTTTAT